GCAGCCCAGCCCCACAGTGACATTGTCCCCCTTCCCCAGCCCCACAGTGGCACCGTCCCCTCCTCCCAAGCCCCCAGAGTGGCACTGTCCCCTTGGCCAAGCCCCCGCGGTGGCACTGTCCCTGCAGCTGTCCTCGCATGGCTCCTCCGCTTGCAGCGCCGCATCCTCCCGGGCAGGGCTCCTGTGCAGGACTCTCCTCTGTCTCTGTCTCTTTTCTCTGTCCCCATGCCGTCCCAGAGGTCCCCAAAAGGAAGGAGGGTCCCTCCTGCTGTCCCTGTCACGCACAGCCCCCAAACTGAGCCGAGGTTTGAGTTCATTTCACCGCAGCCCCGTGGCTGGGTGGGAGCCTTGGTTTGTCCCCAAGGCTCCCCATCTACTTGCTTTGCTCCTGCTCCCTTTCTAAAGGTGCTTTTTGTTGTTTTATTTTTCTTCCTTTTTTTTTTTTTTTTTGTTAATTAAGTATTTTAGAGCCTTCTTATTTTTTCCTTTGAAAAAACAAACAAACAAACAACCGAAAAAAAAATTGTCTTTTGCAAAACTTGTGTCCAGGTCTTGTTATTGCTGGAAACCTTGGGGGAAATTGGGATTTGTGTTGATTTACACAAATGAATGGGATGAAAATGAGTCTTGACCTTCTCTTTTTTATTAATTTTCCTCCTTTTTTGGGTTTTATCTGATACCAAATAATAACAAGCTCTTATTGAGATGCCTTCTGGTCTTTGAGCTGGAAGGAATTTATTTTCTGTTCTCTGTTTTTGTGCTCACGAAGTATTGCTTGAGGTCGGTGTGTGCAAGTGGTTGGGAATTCCAAAAGATTCCAAAGGAAAAGTCAATTTTCACAGCCAATGGTTACAATTCCACTCTTGTGTCTCCTTTCTTTTTAATTGATTTTGGCTGATATGGGTATTTAAGATTAGCAGATAAGGACAAATTTAAACACCAATCTGGAACTTTGGGCCACTCTGTCTTATTTTACTTCCTGGATGACCTTGGAGAAAATACTTGATCCCTGATGGGCAATGGTGATGAAAATCCAATTTCCTTCTCCCAGCGCTCAATTTGTGCAGAATTTGGGGCATGATGAACATCACAGCTGATTCTCCTGCCACCCATCACTGAGGACATTTATTAACCCAAACCTCAGCACTGCTGTAGTTTCCAGCTTGTTTCCACTGTGAAAATCTCAAATTATTTCGTAGATTATCAGCAATTATTTCCACAGTGAGCTCTGATTGTCTTCATAACCTCAGCCTGCACGTTTCACCCAGGAATTCCTGAATTAACTCCTGGGAGCTCAGCTGTAATTTGTATTTTACCTTCAGAGTCAAGTGACTTGGTCCGGGCTTGCAGAGGTTTCTGAGCCCCTTGATCAAAAAGGATTAAAAATAAAGTTAAATCAGCTATTTCTAATAATCTATTTACAATTTAATGTACAGCCACATGCTCTTAGAGCCTTGAGAAAATACATTAAAATCCAAATTTGCCTTCTGTTTCAAACCATTCTGTTTGGTTCTCAGGAATTCCTCCAAGTTGTTTGCTCCCACCTGCATGAATTTTGGAATAATGTTCCAAAAACAAAAACAAAACTGGGAGGGAAACCACCAATGTGTTAAAAGCTGAATAACAGCACCTGCGCGTGAATATTTAATTAAAAATAAAATTAAATCAGCTATTTCCAACAATCTATTTACAATTTACTGTACATCCCCATGCTCTTAGAGCCTTGAGAAGATACATTAAAATCCAAATTCTGTTGGATTTTAGGTAGACTTCTGTTCCAAACCATTCCATTTGGTTCTCAGGAATTCCTCCAAGTCGTTTGCTCCCACCTGCACGAATTTTGGAATAATGTTCCAAAAACAAAAACAAAACTGGGAGGGAAACCACCAATGCGTTAAAAGCTGAGTAACAGCACCTGCACGTGAATGTTTCCGCTGAGATCAAGGCCAAGCTGTGCCAGGCGTTGTGCAAAAACATCCTGAAGATTCATCTCCTCCCCAAAGTTTATAAACACAATGACAAATCCCTGGGATTTATTGATAAACCGGCCCCGAGTGGGAAAACAAACAGCAGCAGTTTGTTTGCTCCACGCAAAGCTCCAGCTGGAAGGGGAAGAGCTTCGTTCCCCTGGCACCCAGGAACGATTCCAGAGAGCATCTGAGGGATTCCAGAGCAGCAGAGCAGGAAATTCCAGCTTTCCAGGAGCAGGAGTCGCCTCCCACGGCCACAGGAACAATGCAGGGAGCACCTGTGGGAACTCGGTGACCTCCTGAGCTGAGCCTGGAGCTTCTGCCCCTCTCCAAGGCTGGGCTGCCTCATAAATTGACATTCAGCAGTGCCCAAGTTCAAGCAAGGCTGGGGAGAATTGGAAAATGAACAAATTTTTTGTTGGTATTTAATTTATTTTATTATTCATTCATTTCTTTCCACCTGTGAGGAGAGGGAGTGCATGCTAGGAGAATATTCCCCATGGAATGTGCCTGGAGCATCCCTGTGCTCCCTGTGCCTGTTTGTCTCCAAGGAGAGATGCTGTGGCTCATAAATTGACGCTTGGCACTTCCCAACTTCAAGCAAGGCTGAGGAGAACTGGAAAATTAACAAATTTTTGTTGGTATTTAATTTTTTTTATTGTTTATTTATTTCTTTCCTCCTCTGATTTCCACCTGTGAGGAGAGGGAGTGTGAGCTGGGGGAATATTCGTTGTCTTTCCCAGGTTTCTTTGTTGCCTGAAGGGAGATTTTGAGCATTTCTCAGTGCCCAAATGATGCCACTAAGGTCCATCATCATTCTTGATGCTCACAGCCTCGGGATTTCCAGCTCTGGTAGAATTGGAATGGATCCTAACAGTCCAATAACACATTTTAGCTTGAATTCAGGCTCAGTTTTACAGATGCTCAAACTGCAGTTGGGGCCCCCTTTCTCTGTGCTGGGGGGTCCTGCTTTAAAATGCTAGAAAAGGAGACAAAAATCAGCAAGTTTTAGCTGAAATATAAGAGCAACCTATAATCTATGATCCAATTAAAAGGATATTTGAGTGTGTAACTCACAGGAGCATCCTGTGCAGCACACATGGCAATTCTCACTGGGAAGGGCTCTTGTGCTCTCAGTGGTTTCACTCCCATTTTCACTTCAAAATGCCAGAAAAGGAGACAAAAATCAGCAAGTTTTAGCTGAAATATAAGAACAACCTATAATCTATGATCCATTTAAAAGGATATTTGTGTGTAACTCACAGGCGCATCCTGTGCAGCACACACAGGAGATGTCATTGGGAAGGGCTCTTGTGCTCTCAGTGGTTTCACTCCCATTTTCACTTCAAAATGCCAGAAAAGGAGATAAAAATCAGCAAGTTTTAGCTCAAATATAAGAACAACCATGATCCATTTAAGAGGATATTGAGTGTGTAACTCCCAGGAGCATCCTGCGGAGTGCAGCACACACAGGAGATGTCATTGGGAAGGGCTCTTGTGCTGTCAGTTGTTTCACTCCCATTTTCACTTCAAAATGCTAGAAAAGGAGAAAAAATTAGCAAGTTTTAGCTGAGCTCTGGCTGCAGGGGAAATTTGGGTTGTTTTGGGGACACAGTATGAGATTTTAAAGCAGACTGAGTCAGGGATGACACAGCGCTGACACCGAGCTGGCTGGCAGGGCTCGGCAGAAGCACAGCCCTGTCCTGTTACTCACTGCCCGCCATGAACTTGGCCCCAGCTCAGCTCCTGCCTCACTCGTCTTGTTCTGCACGTTCTGTGTCACATCACCCGAGTGTCCAGCACCACTCCCAGCCCGGCCTGAACCCTCCTCATCCTCCTCATCCTCCCCTCCCTGCAATCCGCACAAAGGGAGAGAGATTGGAAGAAGACTCCAGGACGCTCGGCAAAACAATAGAAAAATAAACAAAAGTAAGAAAAGAAGATAAAGAGCACCAGCACCTCCCATCCAGCCTGATCCAGCTTTATTCTCCATCACCTCTGAGTTGCTCCTCGTCCTCCTCATCCTCCCCTGCCTACAATCCGCACAAAGGTGCTCCCTGTACTCCCAGCTGAGAGAAAGATTGGAAGAAGACTCCAGGACACTCGTCAAAAAAATAGAAAAATAAATAAAAGGAAGAAAAGAAGATAAAGAGCGCCAGCACCTCTCATCCAGCTTGATCCAGCTTTATTTATGTGCAATCCGCACAAAGGTGCTCCCTGTACTCCCAGCTGAGATTGGAAGAAGACTCCAGGACGCTCGGCAAAAAAACAGAAATATAAATAGAAGGAAGAAAAGAAGATAAAGAGCGCCAGCACCTCCCACCCAGCCTCATCCAGCTTCATTCCCCATCGCCAGGGAGGAACACGCCCAGCCAAAGTAAAGTCTGGGCTCTCCGGGACGGCTCCAGCCGGGCGAGCCGGGGCTGGGCGGAGGCACCGAGCGCCTGTTCCCGCTTCCCCCGCCCCGTTCCCCTTCCCTGCCCGGCCCTGCTCCTGCCCCGGGGGCGGACAGGGATGCTCGGAGCGGAGCTGCGAGCCCCGGGGCAGGGACAGCGGGGCGGGGACAGCGGGGATGCGGCGGAGCATCCTCGGGGGATGCGGCGGGGCCGGGCTGGGCTGGGCTGGGTGGGCAGGGCCGGGCAGGGCTGGGAAGGGCCGAGCAGGACGATAAAAAGCTCCCGGAGCTCCGGCGCCGCCTCCCCGCCCGGGCAGCCCCAGCCGGGCGCAGGTGCCGGGAGCGCAGAGCCGGAGCGGGGTGAGGATTTGGGATTTTGGGGTACCCCCGTGCCGGGATGGGGTCTGGTCCCTCCCGCTGCCAAAGAGCCTCTGCCCTCAGAGGGAGGGTTGGGGCTGTGGTTTGTTTTCCCGTTGGGGAAATTTAGAGACGGCGCTCACGGCAGGGGGACCGGGTTTGTTCTGCTTTTTGTGGGGTTTTTCCCCACGCTATCCGGGATTTCCGTGGGTGGGCTGGGTGCTCGGGATGGGCACGGCTCTCTGCCCTGCTGACGCTGTCCCTCCGTGCCCAGCAGGATGGTTCCCATCGCCCTGGAGGTGAGCTGCAGCTTTGCCGCCTGGCTGTGTCTCTACTGCTGCCTCTGCCGCTGGAGCGGGCAGCGCTCCTGCAAGTGGAGCTGTCGCCTGGTGACCCTCCTGCACGGGCTCCTTGTCACCTGCCTCTCGGGCTATGTCCTGTTCCTGGATGGCCCCTGGCCCCTGACCCACGCAGGTATGGCTGGAATCTCACCTGTGCTCACCTCTCACAGGTGGAGGGAGGGGCTGATTTCATCTCCTCTCACAGCTGTGTGTTTGGGGCCAAATTTTAATTCCACTGCTTCTTTTTCCACCACTTCTCACTGTTCATCCTTTTATTATTTTTTTTTTTTTTAATTTTGGCCTGTCCATGTACAAATTGGAAGTTTCTAGGTTGGCAGCTTGAGTTTATCGCAGCATCAGGTGTAGCGAGGCATGAAGAACAAAGTGCTTTCACATCTTGAAGGGTCCAATAACTCCTGAAATTCATCTGCAGGGTTTTGCTGTCCTTAAATCTCAGATGGTGCTGCTGATGGAGATCTGGCTGTCCTAAAAGGCTGGAAGGAGAAGGGAAGCAGTGATGGGGCAGGATGGGATGGGTGTGAAGGGGAAGCAGAACCAAATATTGGCACCTAATTCCTGGCACTTGGATAAGGCTGGAAATTCAGGAGGAGAGAAGCACAATCGACCTGTACTGATCTATAAAGCAGAAAAATAGAAAATCTTAAAATAGAAAAATTTTAAATAGAACCCCAATCTTACTCACACCTTCCATTCCAGGTTCACCAAACACCCCTCTCCAGATCCACCTAATAGTGCCACCTAATTCCTGGCACTTGGATAAGGCTGGAAATTCAGGGTGAAAGATGCACAATCAACCTGTACTGGTCTATAAAGCAGAAAAATAGAAAATCTTAAAACAGCCTTATTGAAGTGAAGGGAGAACGACCATCCTGGTAATGCATCGAACTCCAGTTTACTGATCAATCAATCACTTTAAATAATAGTGTTAACGAACTTCATGCATATTCTGTAATCCATGTTCATGATAGGCTAACAGAGAAAACCCTAACCACTCCTTTTGTTTTAGAATACCTACAATTGTTCATTAAAAACAGAACCAACGTTCTCACTGTGATATGAAGGGTTCCCAAAACTTCCATATCGGTTCCCAGGGTGCCAGCCTTTCCCAGAGAAGGTGTTCTGCTTGTTATGGGAAGACTGTCTGAGAACTCTATTGTTTATAAAGGGAGTCTAATTGTTTATAGAAATCAGGCTGGGAACTGCTTTAGGAACTGCTTTACTTTTACTTTTCTCTCAATTGTATGTCTTTATGGCCTTTTTCTTTAAGCCATTCTCCGACACAGCCTGGCGTTTTATTTAAGATTTTTTCTTTCACACACCTTCCATTGCAGGCTCACCAAACACCCCTCTCCAGATCCACGTGCTCTCCCTGACCTTGGGCTACTTCATCTTTGACCTGGGCTGGTGCCTGTACTTCCAGACCGAGGGGGACCTGATGCTGCTCCACCACACGCTGAGCATCTGCGGCATGATCCTGGTGCTGGGGCTGGGCAAGTCGGCCACGGAGGTGAACGCCGTGGTGTTTGTCAGCGAAATCACCAACCCCCTGCTCCAGACCCGCTGGTTCCTGCGGGAGATGGGCTCCTACCACACCGCCCTGGGCAAGCTGGTGGATTTCCTCTTCGTGCTGCTCTTCCTGGCGCTGCGCATCGGGGCGGGAGCGTGGATCGTGTACGGCATGGTGACGTCCCCAGAACCCAACTGGCTGCTCAAGGCCGGGTGCCTGGCCATGTATGTGGTGTCCTTGGGGTTCATGGTTGAAATCTGTCGCTTTGTGAGGAGGAAATTGTGGAAAAAAGCCCCTTCTGTGGATGCACGATCCCGTCAGGAGTAGCAGTGCAGCTGTGGAAACTGCTTGGCTGCTGGTTAATGGGTTGTGGAGGATGATCCCCTGGCTGCTGGAGCTTGTTCCTGTGAAAAGAATTCCTAGAATGACACAGAAGTGACTTTCTGCTGCCCCTGGAGGAGATGGATCAGTGCTAGGAACACGGACAAGCTGAGAGAAGAGGGATTTGAGTGGGAACTGAGGAGCCTGGCACTGATTCCCTGAGTTCTCCAGCAAAGCCAAAGATGGTCAATCTGCAACCAATAATTGCACAGTTTGTACGTTCTGTCCTCATTTCCAATGCAGAGTAGAGAAAAATATGAAAAAAAATCCCATTTTCCTGCCAGTGGGACTGGGTAAGGGGCAAAGATTTACTGAGCCTCACCCTCCTTAATAATCCTGGATCTGGACAATGTGTAAATACTCGAGTGAAAGACTCTGAACAAGACTGAAGTGCTTGCAGGGTGTAGTGGAATTGTCCTTTGAGTGTGAAGTGATGGTACTCAAGGTGAGGCAGTGTTTTACCTCCTTGTTTTTAATGACGCATTTCCTTTACTGCTTTTTTAACACTTCCATTGGGTGCTGATCTCAGAGCAGAGGGATTTCTCTGGGACTGACTCAGGCCCTCACAAACAAGAGTCAGGAATTAGAATTGTGCCAATAAACTCCGTGAGCAGGTGCTGGCCTGGGCTGGGATTGCTTAAGAAGAATAATCAGGGTTTTTGTGAGAGAGGGAGGACAGTGAAGATCCCCCCTAGATGCTCTTTCTGTCCTGGGGTTGGCTCATTTGCAAGCTGAATTCATGGCTAATGAGTCAAAAATGTGATTATTTCCAGGGGTGACAGGAATGTTTAGGCAGATCTGGGTGTGACAGCTGTGCCACACCAGCAGGCCTCAGAGCATGGAAGAGTTCTCTCGTTTTCTTTACCTCTCAGAATCGTGTTCTGACCTTTTCCCTGGGGTTTTAATGTGAATTTCCCTCTGTTCAAGGCCACAGTTCTGATTTGTCTCCTCCAAAAGCCTCGCTGAGAGCTGAGAAGCAAAAGCAGGGGTGAGGGAGGGCAGCAGTGGGGACGCGGCTCCTGCACTGCCTTTATCTCGCTGAATTTGGCTCTGTTCAGGGCAGATATCAGCCTCTGGCTGGGGCTCCTCAAGGTGCCTGGAGAGATTAAAAAATAACCTGAAATAACCTCGCTTTGGGCACGTCCACTGAAGGCATTGCAGCTGTGAACCCGGGCAAGTTCCTGGGCCGATGTTTTTTGGGACAGCGGGAGCCGGAGCGGCCTCCTGAGGTGTGGGCACCTGCCAGGCTCTCTGTGTTCCTTCCAAAACCTCCTCTGAGTCGTGGAACTTCTAATAAAGTCATGTTCTCCTTTGAAAAAGAACCGATGGCCGCGATGTTCTTTTGTTCTGGGTCTTGAGGGGAGGCTGAGGATGCCAAAGCCACTGGAGCATTCCCTTTGTGCAGCTCAGGAACAGAGAGGTGCTGAGGAAATGAGCCCAGGCTGGAGCTGTGGGGCTCAGCTGGAGCTCAGGTTTGTGAGCAGTGCACCCACAACCTGCTTTGCTAATTAATCAGTGCTGCAGAGGGAGTGGGAGCCCCCAAACTGAGGGGTTTGCTCCCCATAAATTATAAAAATAATAATTTAAATTCTGGCCATGGCTTCTCCATCCCAGGGTGCTTCTGTTTTTTCCCTGCCTCTCTGGTTTCGCTGGGGCAGTGCCCAGTTCATAAGAATTGCAGGGTAATTGTGGTTTTTTTTTGAGAAGAAATCAAAAGCATCTTGGGGGTTATAAGATGCCCTAACTCACCACTGAGTGGCTGTTTCTGGTGGTTTCTGCTCCTGCTGGGCCAGGGCTCTGCTGCGTGGAGTGGAGGAGAGCCTGGATTGGTTTTCAATGAGAAAAAACCTCTTCTTTCAACTCAGAAACAGTGCTGGAGAGTATCCCAGGGCACCCAGACTGCTTGTGTGCAACCAGAGTTACCTGGGGAGGGTTGGTGTAAAATAAGTGCCCTCGGGTTCTCATCTGCCACATCTCACCTAAGGGTAAGTTTAGTGCTGAACCCTCTAATGTGATGCTAGAAAATCACCCAGCTGCACTAACCCACTGTATTTCTTATTTCAAATAATGTGATTTTTCGTGCTTTTAATCTGTCAGATATCCCTGAGGGCTTTTACAGCCACAAAAGCTGAGTTTTAGTAACATTCTGTTGGACTCTTAGGTTTCCAGCTCTTGTTTATTCCCAGTTTAATTGTGGACAAGGAGCTTCCCAGTGTGGGTAAGATAATAAATACATTCTGATAAGATAATAAATACATCCTATGATGCTTTTCAGTGCTGTGAGCTCTGGTTACAGCTCCAGGAGGGCAGAGGGAGGCTGTGGCTGCACTAAATGAAGCAGCAGCGTGCAAACAACCATCTGCAGAGGCTCCTGCCCTGAGCTGTTTTGCTGAACTCTGTTCATCTGCAGCCCATTGAAATGGCTGACTCTGCACAAAGCAAACAGGAAAATTGGTGTATGAAGCTGCACCTCACTTCTGGTACAATCCACAGGGAGAGGGTTTCACTTGCTACCTTGCACCTCACCGTGCAAAGTTTACAAAAAAAAAAAATCCTGCATGATTTCTGTGTCCCCCGCATCCTGCATGAAATGATCTGTGCCTTGTTAAAACTCTGAGTGCTCCTCTGTGAACATCTCTGGTTTTCTTCCTGGCTGCTCACAGAATCCCACAGTGGTTTGGGTTGGAAAGGACCTTAAAGATCATCTCATCTTATCCCAAAAATCCCGTTTCCATCCCAGGCTGCTCCCATCCACGGCCTTGGGCACTTCCAGGGCGGGCACAGCTTCTCTGGGAATTCCATCCCAGCTCCTCACCATCCTCACAGCCAAGAATTTTATTTTCCTAATATTCCACCTACCCATGCTCCTAATGTGAAAATGCCCTATAATCTCCTGTCTGTCGATGCTTTTCTTTGTCCTAAGCTAAATATCAAAGCAGCTCCATCTCAGGTGTTACTGAGGCTGCTGGAGGCCCAGCAAAGGTGGAGGGAGGCACGATGAGACCTCAGATTTGTCAGAGAGGTAAATGCACTATAAATGCTCACCAGGATGTGCTGAAATAGCAGGAGGATGAGCGTTTTGGAGCAGCAGGAGCCTGCACCCGGCCTGAACTGGAAAAGTAAGATCTGTATCTTGGTGAATACCCAGCTGAAAGCACTAATTATGAGAGCTGTAAAAGGCAGGTCAAGCCACTCCCACCCTGTGCATTTCAAAAGGTAAAACTTGACGGGATGAAGGAAAAAACCAACCCTGCGCTTTTGGGCGTGAGAGGTTGTTTTGACTGTAACTCATGAAAGGTGGAGGAACTTTTGTAGCTGCTTTGTTGTCCTGCATAAACCCGGAATTTGGGAATTTGGGATGTGGAAGGCAGCGGAGGGAATGGGCAGCGCTGAATGCCTGCAGTGAGAGGAAGCACCGGGATGTGAATGGAGATGGCTGCCCTGCCAGGGAGCTCTGCAGAGGTTCTGTTCCCATCGGGAGTGAGGAGAGCAAAGGCTGGGCGTGCTCCGTGCTGTATCTCTGGGGCACACACGGGGTGATGATTGCAGCGGGTGTGGCAGCGATTTCTGTGTCCCCGGGCTGCCCCGTGGGGACACGACCTGGGGTGGCAGCTGGGCTGAGTACCCAGCTGGGTATTTTCACCTGGAGGAGACAATTTGGGGTCTGCAGCTTCCTCACAGGGGGAGTGCTGATCTCTGGGATCAGGGACAGGCTGGAGCTGTGCCAGCGGAGATTTAGGCTGGAAATCAGGAAAAGAGGGTGCTGTGTGATGGTGTTCACACACAGGGGTCTTACCTTGAGGGAAGAGACGACGATCTGGCTCCATCAGAAGGTTGATTTATTATTTTATGATATATATTACATTAAAACTATACTAGAAGAATAGAAGAAAGGATTTCATCAGAAGGCTGGCTAAGAATAGAATAGGAAAGAATGATAACAAAGCCTTGTGTCTCGGACAGAGAGTCCGAGCCAGCTGACTGTGATTGGCCATTAATTAGAAACAACCACATGAGACCAATCCCAGATGCACCTGTTGCATTCCACAGCAGCAGATAATCAATGTTTACATTTTGTTCCTGAGGCCTCCCAGCTTCTCAGGAGGAAAAATCCCAAGGAAAGGATTTTCCATAAAAGATGTCTGCAACAGTGCTGGGCACTGCCCCAAGAGCTCCAGGAGCTGTGGGACACCGCTCCGAGGCACAGGGTGGGATTGTCGGGGTGCAGGAGCAGGAGCTGGCCTTGCGATTCTGGCGGATCCCTTCCAGCTCAGGGCATCCCAGGACGCAGCAGGGACGGCATGGATGCCCCTTTCCAGGGATGTGCCCCTTCCCAGGGATGTGGGGATTCCCAGGGATGTGCCCCTTCCCAGGGATGCTCTGCGGTGCCGCGGGTCGCTTTTCCTGCCATCCTGCCGCCCCTATTCCCTCCTCCGGTCCCTCCTCCTCCTCCCCATCCCCATCCCTGCGCTCCCTCCTCCCGGCCGCCAGGTGCCCCTCGGCCGCCGCCGCTCGCTCCGTGATCCGGGGCAGCTCCGGCAGCGCGGCCCGGCAGGTGGGTGCTGGGGAAGGGTCCTGTCCGTGTCCGTGTCCCTGTCCCCGTCCCTGTCCCCGTGCCATGGATGGGGCCGGGGCCGCTGCATCCCGCGGGGTGCGGAGGATGCGCCGGGAGTGCGCAGGCGGTGCCCGGGGCTGCGGTTCTGCCCTTGGTGCGGTCCGGGAGCTCCTCCATCTTCCCGCCGGGACTGAAAAAAATGTGGATAACGGGATAACGGGGCTGGGCTGGAGGTGCCCGTGTGGGTTTTAATCGTTTTCGGGGTGTTCTGCACGCCGGGTTTTTTAGGCATGTGTGTTTATTGTAGAGGCTGCTTTCATTCTGGGCCTCATTGCTGCCGGTGATACAAATTATAATATAGATATATAGATATTAGATACATAGATATATAGATAATATAGATAGTATATAATAGACATAGTAGAATTATAATAATAATAATGTAGTGTATATATATAAATTATATATGCATCTATATTATAATTTATAATATAGATATGTGTCTATATTATAAATTATAATTATAATATAGATATATAATACTATAGTATAATAATAGATAATAGATACCTAGATACATAGATAATATAGATATTATATAATAGATATAGTATAATTATAATCATATATAGTATATATTATATCATATATAATGTATATATTAGATATTATATACTTTATATTATATATTATACATTATATAAATATTATATATAATATAAATATGATATATATTATATAAATATATAAAATATATAACATAGTATATGTATAATAATTATATATTATATATAAAATTATATATCTATATTATAAATTATGATATAGATAGATATATAGATAATAGATATTAGATACATAGATAATATAGGTATTATATAATAGATATTGTATAATTATATACATATAATTATATATGTATCTATCTATATTATAAGTTATAGATAGATACATAGATAAAAGATATTAGATACATAGCTATATAGATAATATAGATATTATATAATAGATATAGTATATCTATTGTTACATAATAGATATAGATAGTATCACATATTTTATTATGTATAGGTACATAATAATATATGAGATAATACAAAATAACATATAGGGAAATACATAATTTTATATGTGATTGCATGTTGTTTGTTAATTTATGGTCTATATGTATATTACATAGAATTATTTGTTATTTATTATATAGGATTTTTTGTTATTTATAGTTCTGTAATTATTGCTGCTTTCTAAATTATATTGGCCTTCCTAGCGTCAATCCCTTTTGTCACTTCTCCCTTCCTCATCTGCTCTGAGTCTGGAGCTGGAGCAGCAGGGATGTGAACGGCAATGCCTGCTCAGAGCAGTCATCCCATCCCTGTTTCACCTCCCCGTGTTCCCAAGGCCCATTAAAACATGATGGATTTGTTTACCCAGCCTGCAGTCACGCCTGGGAATGCTCCAACAGGCCCGACAGGAAGGTTGGGCTCTGCAGCTCTGACTCCTCATCCCGTGCAGTCCCTCTGGTGCTCCCCAGAGCTGGGCAGCAGCTTTGGCACAACTGGAAACTCCTGTACCCCAAAGCCTGACTCAGCTGCACTGCCCTGACTGCTCCTGTCATGGGAAGGCATTGTATGAACACATTTCATAGGAAGGCATTGTATGAACACATTTCATGGGAAGGCATTGTATGAACACATTTCATAGGAAGGCATTGTATGAACACATTTCATGGGAAGGCGTTGTATGAACACATTTCGTGGGAAGGCGTTGTATGAACACATTTCAGGGGAAGGCGTTGTATGAACACATTTCATAGGAAGGCATTGTATGAACACATTTCATGGGAAGGCGTTGTATGAACACATTTCAGGGGAAGGCATTATATGAATGAGGTGTAGAATAGAGTAATGTGTATTTGGAAACTCCCGTATCCCAAAGCCTGACTCAGCTGCACTGCCCTGAATGGTCATTTCATGGCAAGACATTATATGAACAAATTTCGTGGGAAGGCATTGTATGAACGAGGTTTAGAATCAAGTAATGTGTGTTTGGAGGGTCTCAGCAACATCCACAAGTGTTTATGTGCTGTAGTTTTGTTCTGGCAATTTGTCTTTTGCTTGTTTGAGAGATTATTGCATAAAGGGAAGATGTATAAAAGAAATACTGCTGAAAAAACAAATCTTTATAGGCATAGGTTCTTATTCTTTTGTATCCAAAAGATTTGGAGGTTTTGGTGCCAGTAAGGATGAAATGAAGCCTGCAGTGAGGAGAATAAAGTGGTTTTCACAGAGAAAATGTGACAGGAGCAAGCAGCCCCATCAGGAGCAGCTCTGCACACTCATGGTTGCAGATGAGTGTGGTTGGTTGCAGATGAGTGGGATGGTTATGGAGCAAAGCTGACACTGTCACAGGCTCTTCCTCCTGCTCACTTTGTCCTTCTGATCCCTCGTGTCCTGCTGTTCCCAGGCCAGGATGCAGTTCCCGCTGCCCCTGCGTGCAGCCTGCAGCCTGCTGGCCTGGTTCTGCCTCTACAAGTGGTTCTGCCACCGCTACCGGCACCGGAGCCTCGAGTGGAGCTGCAGGCTGGTCACCCTGACCCACGGCATCCTGGCCACCTGCCTGTCCGCCTACATCGGCTTCATCGACGGCCCCTGGCCCCTCAGCCACCCAGGTGAGTGAGGAAATCCACGATCCCACCTCCCCCGGGCTTCTCCTCAGTCCCCAGCCTGCCTGAGGTTTGGTGCTGCAGTGATATCTCAGCCCCAGAGAAATGGAGAGCCTGGTACTGTATTTTGCTCTAGTAATGTTCCTCACTCAGGGTCACCAAATATGGAATTTGCAGGCAGCCCCGACAAGGGAAGAGATGAGAATCTTGACTCCATGTTTCAGAAGGCTGATTTATTATTTTATGATATATATTATGTTAAAAGAAAATTGTATACTAAGAGTATGCTAAAAGAAAAGAGATATCAGAAGGCTAGCAAGGAAAGGAATGGAATGATAATAAAATCTTGTGACTGACCAGACAGTCTGAGACAGCCGGACTGTGATTGGCCATTAATTAGAAACAACCACATGAGAGCAATCCCAGATGCACCTGTTGCATTCCACAGCAGCAGATAACCATTGTTTACATTTTGTTCCTGAGGCCTCCCAGCTTCTCAGGAGAAAATCCTAGCAAAAGGATTTTTCATAAAATCTGTCTGTGGCACTGCCCCTCCCCAGCTGCAGTTTGGGAGAGTGTGTGACCTCGTGTGTGGCCATTACGTGTGTGCAGCTGCTAACAACTAACAACTGTGGCATTGTCACAGGGATGTGACACCCCTGCCCTGGCTCACATCCTGCTGCCTCTGATTTATTAAAAATATGGATATCGATCTAGTACCAATATCCAAATGTGACAGACAAAAACTCTCTAACAGTTTAAAACTAGAAAGTGTGTGTTTATTGTGGGATAACTCCCAAATACACACCGCAATTTACAGGTGATTACAGAGTCCTTGTATCTATACAAGTATTGACTACCCAAAGTACAAATGCATATTCATGACTTTGGTACATCCCATTCCCAATATGGATATTGATCTAGTACCAATATCCAAAAACTCTCTAACAGTTTAGAGTTAGAAAGTGTGTGTTTATTGTGGGATAGCTCCCAAATACACACCAAATTTACAGGTGATTACAGAGTCCTTTTAGCTGTACAGGTATTGAATACCCAAAATACAAATACATGTTCATAACTTTGGTACATCCCATTCCCAATATGGATATTGATCTATGGATTTTGATATCCATAGATATCAATTCAGTACAAGTATTGAATACCCAAAATACAAATACATATTCATACCTTTGGTACACCAATATTAATTAGAAACAACCAACATGAGCCAATCACAGATGCACCTGTTGCATTCCACAGCAGCAGATAACCATTGTTTACATTTTGTTCCTGAGGCCTCTCAGCTTCTCTCAGGAGGAAAAATCCTAAGGAAAGGATTTTCCATAAAAGATGTCTGCGACACACCTCCACGCTTCAAATCTCTATCTTTTACCTTTCAGGCTCACCCAACACAACCCTTCAGGTGCACGGGCTGTGCCTTAGCTTGGGCTACTTCATTTTTGACCTGTGCTGGTGCGTGTACTTCCAGACGGAGGGTGCCCTGATGCTGGCCCACCACCTGGTCAGCATCGTGGGCATCGCCGCCTCCTTGGCGCTGGGCGAGTCGGCCGGCGACGTCAACGCCGTCATCTTCGGCAGCGAGATCACCAACCCGCTGCTGCAGGCCCGCTGGTTCCTCAAGGAGCTGGGCCGCTACCACACCTTCGCGGGCGACCTGGTGGATTTCCTCTTCGTGGTGCTCTTCACGGGCGTGCGCATCGGCGTGGGGGCCTGGCTGATGTACTGCGAGCTGGCCTCGCCCCGGCCCCGCTGGTACATCAAGCTGGGCGGGGTGGTCATGTACGTGGTGTCCTGGGTGTTCATGGTGAGCATCTGCCGCTTCGCCAGGAGGAAGAGCATCAGCAAGTACCAGGCCTGGAGGAGCCGCAGGAGCCGCGAGCTGGGCTGGAAAACCAACGGGCACCTCAAAGGGCACTGATGGAGGATGAGCAGAATTCCTCGAGTTCACGGGCTGGCAAGGAGGGGTTCGTGCCTGAAATGCTGCTGGAGGGAGAGGAGCCAACGCACGTTAGCAGATCCGGAGCCAAATTTATCCCTGGCCTAACTCCACTGAAAGCCATGGAGCTATGCCATGGATTCACTGGGCAGAGCTGGCACGGTGTGCACAGCCTGAACAAGAAGGGAAAGAAGGGCTAATTTATAGACTAACCATGGCTGGTCCGGCAGTGCAGGTGTAAATGGTGATGTGGAGGGAAAGAAGGGCTAATTTATAGATTAAACACGGCAAGTCCAGTAGTGCAGGTGTGTGGCCAGCTCCTTCAAGATCTTGGAAGAGAGGACAAGGTAATACTAGGATCTCCATGTCTAGGCAGCTAGAGTGACTCTTCATGCTGGTGGAGGAAGTGTTCCAGTGTTGCATCCAAGCTGGGATTCCTGGCTCTTCCACCACCTCGTTGGTGTGCACAGCCTGAACGAGGAGGGAAAGAAGGGCTAATTTATAAACTAACCATGGCTAGTCCAGCAGTGCAGGTGTAAATAATGATGTGTAGCCAGCTCCTTCAGGATCTTGGAAGAGAGGAGGAGGTAACACTAGGTCTCCATGTCCTGTGCAGTCTAGGCAGCTAGAGTTCTAGAGTTCTCACCAGAGTTTCATGCTGGTGGAGGAAGTGTTCTAGTGTTGCATCCAAGCTGGGATTCCTGGCTCTTCCACCACCTCGTTGGTGTGCACAGCCTGAATGAGGAGGGAAAGAAGGGCTAATTTATAGGTTAAACATGGCAAGTCCAGCAGTGCAGGTGTAAATAGTGATGTGTGTAGCCAGCTCCTTCAGGATCTTGGAAGAGAGAAGGAGGTAATGCTGGATTCTCCATGTCCTGTGCAGTCTAGGCAGCTAGAGTGGCTCTTCATGCTGGTAGAAGTGTTCCAGTGTTGCATCCAAGCTGGGATTCCTGGCTCTTCCACCACCTCGTTGTGTGACCTTGGGCAAGTCTCGCAACTGGAACTCTGTGCCTCATTCCCCCTCTGTGACTTGGGGGAGATGGAGCTGCTCCATCTGTTATGCACTTTCAGATTTTTACTCGAGAGGTGCTATATGAAAAAGTGATGGTTGTTATCTGCACTTGGTTCATCATTCCTGTGTTTCCCTTGGGAGAAATGACTTTGGTGGTCGAGCTAGAGCGAGACTCTAGAAAAATCAGTATTTTAGGTAGGTTGTTGTTTCCTACCCTTTCTAACTCCTTTTAATAACTTATTCATTAATATATTGATAACTTATTTTCTGTAGTGTCCAGAACCTAGCTCTAATCAGCACTGCCTAATTACAGGACTAGGTGCTCTGTGAATACACCCAAAGACACAGACCCAGAAAGGAGAATTTTTCCTGGTTTTTCCCTCTTCTTCCCTGACTGTTAAAACTCCCCTACAAACACTGCTTTTAGCTCCTTGGGTAACCAGCACACCCCACTTTGAGAAGCCCCATCAGGATTTGCCAGGGGTTTTCTTGCTGATGAGCCAAGCCCCTGATTTTGTCTCCAGAACACCAAAATTCCCTCTGCCATGCCCCAAATCCAAATTGGGATTTCTGGTTGCCCAGAATCTGCCCTGTGGAAGCCACAGACTGACCTTGGCCCTCCTTCATCTGAACTGATGCCTTGACCCCTGGGCTTTGATTTCCCTCTGATTGGGTCTGAGTCACTTTATAAAAGTGAACATTCAGAAGGTCAGAGAGATTTATTTTACAGCTCAGTAAAGAAATGAGAGGCCCAGAATCTGATCTTTTTTAAGCAAAAATAAACCTGCCTGTGAGAAAAATAAGCAATACTTATCCAGTCCCATTTGCAGGGAAAAACCATGCCCAGCTGCCAGCTCCTGGAGTTGATTTCATTGCACGTCCTTGAGCTGTTCCTTTGTTTTTGCTGCGATTTTGAGCATTTCCTTTGAGCCTCCAGTGCAGCTCAGGTGCCCCCTTTTGCTTGAGCCTTGCTTGCTGCAGCCAAAGACCTGAAGAAGCCCCAAAAAACCCCTTCAGATGAGCAGAGCCAACTGATGAGCTGGTCCTGGAGAGCAAATTTGACCCATCCAGCATTCTCAAGCCTTGAAAGGAGACCAGAAGGGCTGGTTGGGGCTTGCTGGTTCTTTTTCCCAGCTCTGCTGCTCTGTTGAGCACATCCAGGAGCCTTTTTGCCTCAACTTAACCCACTTTGGGAAGTGGGTGCAGTCTTACCTACCTCATGGGGTGTTTCCATTCAGCACCAAGCCACCTTTGATGGATTCTGGGTGGTTTGTGTACAAAAGTTGCTTTGAGTTTTGTCACCTGAGCTGGGCACTTCCCAACATCCCAAAAGCAGGAGTGAGGTGTTTGGCAAAGGTATTAAAGGGCAGGAGTCACAGGGAGTGAGCTGGACGTGCTCATAAAGGTCAGAAAAAGGTTATTTTAGTCTGCTGCATCCTCACAGGGAGCCCCAAGCTGAGGAAAAGGGGTTTGCTGGCTCTTCCCTGGTCAGGATTGCAGGAATCTGGAGCCAAAAGTGGCTCAGCCACTGGCCTGAGCAGGGAATGAGGGTTTGCAGCAGCAGCTCCTGCAGAAATGCAGGGGAAAACAGGTCCTGGAGGTGAAAACAAACAGGTCCTGGAGGTGAAAACAAACAGGCCCTGGAGGTGAAAACAGCCTGGTCCTTGCTGCTGAGCTGCCCACCGTGAAGAGTTTCCTCCAGCCCTGGTGGTTTGGGCTCTGAGCTTTGCTGAGGGTTGGGGTGCAGCTTTTTGGGGTTACCTGCCCAGGTGGGTGAGGATGGCAGTGAATCTGTGAATCACCTGTTTGAAGAGATTTTGAAATACAATGGTTTGAGTTTGGGAAAGCAGAAAAGGTTTCCCCCCTTTTCTGAATGTGGTTGGAAGAAGGAGAGCACTGCTCAGCTCTGAGGCTTTAGGAAGTAAGCAAGGAAACAAAAGGGCAATTAGAAATGGCTTTATGAGGCACAGCAAGGCCTCATAGCCCATTTAGTGAGCTCCAGCATAGATTTACAGACCCAAAAGTACAAATTCCAAGCTGTGGAGCACAGGGTGGGACCTGTCCTCAGGCTAGTCCATAGTGGCTAGAGCAAACTGTGAGAGGAAACTGCAGAACTAGTGTGAAATAATAACTTGTGTCTGAATTACTGTGTAATAGCAACTAATGTTCCACCAGTGAATGGTGTAGATGCTTTGTATCATGTTTTATAAAAATAAAGATTATTTAATTATATGAGGAATTGGGTTTCTCTGCTTGGGTGCTGCTCTTAAGTCACGGGTTGCACTGGATGGTTCTGGAGGGCTTTTCAGAAAATCTTTTCAGCTTGAATCAAAGATTCAGTGGTTCAGAAGGATGGAGCGAAAATATTCCCTTTATTTTTCATGTCCTGGATGAAGCTTCTCCTGTGTTTCCACACTGTGAGCCCTTCCCAACCATAAATTAATATTATTGCCTAGCAAAGCCCTGTGCTGGTGTGTTGGTAAACAGCCTCTCTGCTTGCTGATGGCCACAGATCCAGCACACCAAAAGTCTTGGCTTCTATAAATAGTTAAGCCAATTTAGCTGTTTGCATGTAACCCTTAAGTCCAGCTTAACCCCTCCAGCACTGGGGAGCAGCTGTGAGCAGCACTGAGCCCTCTGGAGGTGTTTTTTGTCTCAGAACCTCCAAGAATTTGTGCTGGGATTTTGTTGAACCTCTGAGGTGGCTCCAGAAGCAGAGAAGAAAGCACAGCAGAGTTCTGGAGCTTTGCTTCAGAGCTGCAATGTCTCACAGGTCTGGTGTCCTCAGAAGTGATGAGATCTGGCATTGTCAGTGGTCAGATGGGCTTTGTCTGTGGAAAGTGAGATCTGCCCTTCTACACCCAATTAATTTCATTTTTTATCATCCTATTATTTCTTTACAGGCAACCCTGTGCCTGCCTTTTGCTTCTCCTGCTGGCCCTGCAGTCGAGCTTTGTAAAATTAACCTCCCTTATCAGTCCTCTGCCCTCTCTTTGTAGCTGAACTCCCTATTTCTACTTGAAAAAAATGGATTTTTTTGATATTCACAGCTTTATTCCCTTGCAGCAGTAGTCCAGGCACTGATGTAAAAGCAGCATTTTAAGTCTTTGAAATCTGCTTTTTCATTTATACCACGGGGTTTGCCATGTCCAAAGAAGTCAACGCCCTCAAGTTCCAGGAGCAGCTTGGCAGCTGGTAAGTCAACAATGTAAAAGATCCTTAGAAAATTACTAAAATAAGGAATATAACAGATCAAAGTGCATGGAAAAGCTTCTGTAAAGTAATAAAGGTTTACAGGTAGATAATTTTTGTTTGCCATGTCCAAAGAAGTCAATGCCCTGTTTGCCTCAAATTCCAGGAGCAGCTTGGCAGCTGGTAAGTCAACAATGTAAAAGATCCTTAGAAAATTACTAAAATAAGGAATATAACAGATCAAAGTGCATGGAAAAGCTTCTGTAAAGTAATAAAGCTTTGCAGGTAGATAATTTTGTATGGGGAGAAGGAAGTTTCAGCTTCCGCAGCTTCTCAAATGGTACCAAACACAGATTTTCAGCAGTGCTGTTTGAACCGCGTCTTGTGTCAGAATGAGATCTCTCCAGTGCCACAATCCTCAAATTATATTCTCTATTTATTTAGATTTTACCTCTTTCTTTTTAACCCCAGACAGAGGATGGAGAAAGAGAAGGAGACTCAGGGCAGGATGTGCAGCAGATTCCTCTGTCCTTGCTGCTTTCCTTATGCTGATGTGCAATGAAAGCTCAGTGCTATAAAAATGCTGACTGCCCCGTGGATTATCCAGGTTTTAGGAGCTGTAATAAGCTGTCACTCCAGAAGCTTTGCTCGATTAGGCTCTCTGTGTCTCAAAATCAGCAAAGCCTTGTGTCCCACAACCAGCATTTCCAGAGTGCAGGATTGTAGGGAGAAAAATCTGGTGCCCATTTTAAGGGGGGAGATGAAATTGCACAGAAACGTGGAACACAGCACAAATTTATTTGTGTTTTCTGGGATTGGGCCCCGTGTTCCTTAGGAGTCACAAATTTCTGGGAATATCTGGGAAATGAACTTGGGAATTGTTTCCCCTGTGCTTTTCCCCTCCAAGGTGTAAAGGTTTGGCAGTTGGCTTCCAAAAGCAGCAGAAAAACAGGAGCTGGCTGAGCAACTTGTAGTGAGCATAAATAACAGTTCAAAATCCTGAGTATTCTCTCACTGACTTGAAATTGATTAATTTTAAGGGGCAAAAGCATCT